GACCAGCCGGCGGAAATCAGCAACCACCTCAACCTTCCGCTCACTGTCTTGAGCAGGAGGAATTTTGGGGTATACTACATGAGGCGGATCCAGTACAAGCAGCGCAGCAGGATAACCGTCAACAGCACAGACAGACCGTTAAACTGAATGGCAAAGCAGTAATTGGTCTGAGAGACACCGGAGCCACTATGACTTTGCTCCAAAAGAACCTTGTTTCCGAACACCAGCACACTGGAGATACTGTGGCAGTGAGGGTGGCGGGAGGTGCAGTGTTCCGCTTACCGGTTGCCCGGGTTCACTTGGATTGGGGGGTGGGCTCTGGACACGTGAATGTGGGGGTCATGAAAGACTTACCGGCCGATGTTTTGCTTGGGAATGACTTGGCCCCTTTGGTGTCCGCTTATGCTCCAATGGGACCTGCCGCTATCAACCCAGTGACTACAAGTGCCCAGACCCGTGCTGCTGGAACCAGCCCACCTGCTGCTGAGACCCAGGTAAGGACCGAGTCCCCGACTGGTACCATAGCACAGACCTTTGTTAACTGGGATTCCCCAGAGGAGTTTGGGAGGGAAACTCAGACAGATTCGACCCTCCAGAAGTATAGGGACAGAGCAGATACTGGAGAGGAAGGATTAGATGGGGAACGGTATGAGTGGGTGGGGGACAGGTTGTATAGGATCCCCAAGCTTTCCCCGAAGAGTGTTGCCCCTCCGCCGAATCGACAGCTGGTAGTGCCCGCGAAATACCGGCAGGAGATTCTGCGGATAGGGCATGATGTTCCGTTAGCTGGACATCTAGGTTCCCGCCGCACAGCCTATAGGACCATGCAGAACTTTTTTTGGCCAAACTTCAATCAGGCTGTGCGGACATACTGCAGTACGTGTGACACATGTCAACGGATAGGAAAGCGGGGGGACCACCCAAGAGCTAGGCTTATGTCTATGCCTATCATTGGGGAGCCCTTTGCCCGCATAGCCGTTGACATTGTGGGTCCACTGGCCAGGGGTAGTCCATCCGGTAAGAAATATATTCTCACCGTGGTGGATTATGCCACTCGCTATCCGGAGGCAGTAGCGCTGTCTAATATAGAGGCAGAGACAGTTGCTGATGCCCTGGTTAGGATTTTTACCAGAGTCGGGTTCCCTCAAGAGATTCTCTCTGACCAGGGAACCCAATTCACCGCTGTGTTCACCCAGCAACTGTGGAAGGTGTGCGGTATTAAACCGCTGCTTAGCTCACCTTACCATCCACAGACTAACGGTCTCTGCGAGCGATTTAATGGCACCCTCAAACAGATGCTGAGGACCTTTTCTGACACTTGCAGAGACTGGGAGCGATTCCTGCCTCATCTGTTGTTTGCCTACAGAGAGGTGCCCCAGGAATCTACTGGGTTCTCCCCCTTTGAGTTACTATATGGGAGAAGGGTCCGCGGACCCCTAGATCTCATTAGAGGCCACTGGGAGGGGGAGACAGAGCAGGAAGGGACCCCCATAGTACCCTATGTTCTGGAACTCCGGGACCGCATGGAGAAACTGTCCCTAATGGTAAGGGAGAATCTCCAGGTGGCTCAGGGGAGACAGAAGAGGTGGTACGATCGGGGTGCCCGACAGCGAGTTTTCCCGGTTGGGCAGAAAGTACTAGTGCTCAAACCTGTGAAGGCGAAGATGCAGGCATCTTGGCAGGGCCCGTATAAGGTGTTAGCTCAGATATGTGATACTACCTACCTTATAGCCAGCTGTTCAGATGAAAGGATCCAGCGATCCTTCCATGTGAACATGCTAAAGGAGTATCAGGAGAGACCGGAGAATGTCGCTGCAGTATGTGCCCCTGCTGCAGATGATACAGAAAGTTTACCCTTGCCAGACCTGTTAGAGAGGGACCCCCAGACGGATCTTACTAGCCTAGTACAGCTAGGGGACAGATTGAGCGCTACCGAGAAGGGCCAGGCAAGACAGCTTTTGTGGGAAAAGCAGGCGACCTTCTCCCAAGAACCTGGTTACACTACCCTAGCTGTACACAAGGTAGAAACCCCTGGACAGAACCCTCTGCGACAACCCCCTTACCGTATCCCTGAAGCAGTCCGGGAAGGAATGCGGAAGGAGATACAGGAGATGACCCAGCTGGGGGTCATCGAACACTCCGATAGCCCTTGGGCCTCGCCTGTAGTCCTGGTGCCCAAGAAGGATGGGACCACCCGGTTCTGTGTGGACTACAGGCGTCTCAATGAGCGGACCACCACTGACGCCTACCCGATGCCCCGGGTAGACGAATTGCTAGATCGCATTGCCAGGGGACGCTATCTGACCACCATAGACCTGTGCAAAGGCTACTGGCAGATTCCCCTGGCCGAGGATGCTATCCCCAAGTCGGCCTTCGTCACCCCATTTGGCCTGTACCAATTTAAGGTCATGCCATTTGGGATGAAGAATGCCCCGGCTACCTTCCAGCGCATGGTGGATAGACTTCTTGATGGATTCCAGGAATTTGCTTGTGCATACCTGGATGACATTGCGATCTACAGTGAGTCCTGGGAAGAACACCTAGTACATGTAGGGGTAGTGCTGGACAAGATTCGGGCAGCTGGCCTGACATTGAAGCCAGAGAAGTGCCATTTAGGCATGGCTGAAGTGCAGTACCTGGGTCACAGAGTAGGGTGTGGGAGCCAGAGGCCAGAGCCAGCCAAGATAGAGGCAGTTGCCAACTGGCCCACACCTATCACCAAGACCCAGGTGTTAGCCTTCCTAGGGACAGCAGGGTACTATAGACGCTTCGTCCCCGACTACAGCTCTATTGCTAAACCCCTGACTGACTTGACCAAGAAAAATCTTCCTAAGCAGGTCCTGTGGTCTCCGGCTTGTGAAGCTGCGTTCCAAGCACTCAAACATGCTCTTGTGAATGCCCCTGTCCTGGCTGCCCCAGTCCCTAACAAACGTTTTCTCGTCCATACAGATGCTTCCATGTATGGACTGGGGGCTGTGCTGAGCCAGGTCGGGGAAGATGGAGGAGAGCACCCTGTCGCATATCTCAGCAGAAAGTTGTTACCCAGAGAAGTGAGTTATGCGGCAGTGGAGAAGGAATGTTTGGCCCTGGTGTGGGCATTGAAGAAGCTAAGCCCGTATTTATATGGACAGGAATTTTCCCTTGTGACGGACCACAATCCCCTTGTCTGGCTTAACCGGGTCTCTGGAGACAATGGCAGACTGCTGAGGTGGAGTTTAGCACTACAGCCATATAACTTCACCATCACTTATCGACCCGGTAAGCAGAATGGGAACGCAGATGGATTGTCCAGGCAAACCGACATCCTCACCCCATCTTAGTCCGGTCATCCCCACGTTGACCCGCTAAAGGGTCAAGCCGGGTCTGCCGGAGTGTCCCACAAGGGGGGAGCCGTGTGACAGATTCATCTGCAGTGTTGGTTCGTCTGTTTCCCTTTGTTCGCGGAATTGCCTGTTCATATACCCCCGTTCGTGTATTTGCAAAATGCCGATTGAAACTACCGAACGAACGACCACCCAGGAGAGGAGTGTGCTGCTGGTTAACCTCTTGGCCCCAATTAGAACGTTGTGGTTAACCGCAGACACCTCTCCATTCCATTCGTACGGGTGGTCGTCGTTCGCATGTCGACCACGAGGCAGCGGCCATTTTGGGACATACGAACACAGAGCGGTGTTCGGTACAAACTGTATGGAACTAAAAACGGACACTTAAACTACCGAACACCGCTGAAAAGCTGCTGCCTACCTTCCTTTTCGACAAGGCATGCGAACGTCGGTCGTTCGGGAGTTTTATTCATTCGTATGGACTTTTACCCCGACAGCCATCCCATGGAGTCATTCGTATACCGAAGGACTGGTGAAAGACTTTGACTCCATGGCGATTCGACTAGATACATCGGATCTGAGCGCTATTCGGTGAAAACATGCCCTCAGATCCAGGCTGTCTGGGGATACGTTACACGAACCATATGCAATCGGTATTTCTGTAGTTATGTATTTTAATGTCTTTTTGTTACTGTAATTTAAGATGGCGATGGTCTCTACCTTGGGAGATAATTAGGTTTCTTCCCCAATTATCTCCAAGGTAAAGAAGACGGAATTATGGGCAAGATGGGAAGGGCTATTATTGAAGCCACTGCGATTGGCTACTGTCCAATATGTGTTACAGTCTTCCACAAGGTCCCCTCGGGGAGTGTCCACCTTGTGGAGACCTGCATAAATACCGGGCAGGTAGCCCCCATTAAACAGATCTTCATTTGACCCTCAAGACGGAGCTTGGTCTCGTTTGTGGGGGGAATTATTATTGGGACAGCGTTTTCGTTATTTCTAACTGTGGAAGGCGTTCGACTGTTTGGCTGATCGGGAGTTGCCGTGTTCGCGGACTTCGTTCGGGAGTTTGGGCGATCGGCTGGATTTAAACTGCATTTCTGGAAAAGGGGATTATTGCCTAAACGGCGGCTTCATCTACCCGACGGTACGTGTCGTAACAGGGACAAAGTCTGTTACTTTCTTTGGCACTGTGGAAAAGGTGTATTCATTTTTCTCAAGCTCCACCCACAGGTGGGATATCCTTAAGAAACATGTACCAATTCGTGTAAAGCGATCGTGTAACACAAGATGGAGTTCAACGCATGAAGCTGTATGCGTACTTGCTGAACACACTGAGAAAATAATAGACGCTTTGGAAGCGTTGAGAGATGGGCCGGAAGAAACCTCTGAAACCAGGGGTGATGCAGGAAGTCTTTTAGTTTGCATAATGACATATGTTTTTTTCTCTTTCTTGCATTTTTGGAACCCAGTACTAACCGAAGTAAATGATACTCAGATCTACCTGCAGCAAGAAGGACTTGCGCTTGATCAATGCGTGCAAAAGTTAAAAGCATTGACTTTATTTTGTCATGAAAAACTGATAGTCTAGTGTCAAAGGCAACTGAGAAAGCTTTGCAGGTATGCAAAACCTATTGCATACCTACAGAGAGAAGAGTTGGAAGACGCAAGAAGATGGATGGTGAGAACAGTTGCGATGCTGGCTTGACCTTAATACAGGAAACAAGCAGAGAACAACTGGAAGATTTTGATCAGCTTCAGGCAGAAATTAAAAAACGTACTACGCAGATGAATACGCTGCACCAGCGATTTGCTTTTTTGCAAATTCAAACATTGTTGGATACTAAAAAAGATGATTTTATTAAGAAACAAATTCAGCACACGTGTGCTCAGTACACGGAATTGAATGCTGCATCTATGCTCACCGAAATAACTCGACTTCGGCACCACATTATCTTGTATAAAGAGGTCAATCCTGATGTGCAGGTTGCAAACTGGTCAGCTTTAGATTTGCTTCGCTAGGTGTATAAGTGGAAGCTGCAAGAAAGTTTAATTAACTTTGTTGTCACATTAAGAATCTTTCTTACTATCACTGTTTCTACAGCGAGTTGTGAAAGAAGTTTCTCAAAACTTAAACTAATTAAAACATATCAGAGATCTACAATGAGCCAAGAAAGACTGAGTAATCTAGCAATACTGTCCATTGAGAGAGACTTTAATGTAGATTTCAATTCCGTTGTTGAAAAATTTGCGCTAATTAAAAGCAGGCAAATTTAAATTAATCTGTATATTATATACAGATTGATATCTTGCACTTCTATTAAAGAATTACAATTAGAGGTACAGGATTGAGGAAGTTGGCTCCATCTAGCCCAGTCTTGGATCATCTCCAGGGTATGGTTCCATTTTGATGTTTAGTTTTTGTTCTTGATATTTTTTGTCGTTTATGATGGTTGTGAGACGACATATAATAGCATGGCCCATGCTAGGTTACTACATTTGTATATTTGTATTCATAGACCTGCTGAAAATGTGGAGAATGTGTGTAATGCATGTTCGCACTCAATAAAGTGTTGGAAAATAAACTTGTATTTAGATGCATTTTACTTTAATTACATAAGTATTTTCATAACAAACAATACATGTGCTTGGGGGGTAAGGGTTTCTTTAACTAATCTAGTGGAAGAGACTCGAGTGCTAAAATCCACGGGTTAGGGGGCGCAAATTATTTGCCTTGCCCCGGGTGCTGACAACCCACGCTACGCCACTGCATTCAGGGGAACAACATATTAAAAAATGGCATGAATCCGACCAGGGGTTCAAAAGTTAGTAAAATTATCTTTTGGGCCCTGGCTGGCACATGGTTATCTGGCTCAAACAGATTTTACAGAGCCCTCTATCCTGGAGACAATGGGGGAAAGTAATCCAATTATCCAGGGATAGAGGCAGACTCCATTGAGCACATGGTTGCAAAAAGACATAACACACTTTAAAATACATAAAGTCACCTTTTACACATAACACACAGACATTTCGAATGGGCTCCATGGCATAGCTATCTGGGTTAACACCTTCACATAAAGTCTGGTCCATAGTCCAAAGGCAAGAGGTGGGCAAGCAGCCCCCTCCAAGGACACGTGGCGAGGCCGGTTTCGCCACAGACACACTAACTGTATCAATAAATATCTATTTCACACTGTTTTTACACATTGAAAGTTGAATAAATATGAATAAAATCTTAAAAAGTGTGAGAAATTTTGAAATGTTATTCTCCAAGTTCTGCATGGCATTTTAACTGTGAATTTCATAATACTGTTAGCTGTTACTGATATAAAATCAGGGCCGGCGTAACCTTATAGCTGTGCTGTCCGGGCTGTCATGGTGGCTGTTAAGCTCAGAGGCAAAATGCTTTAAAACAGCTTAAATCACATACTTCAAACCTTACCTTGCCCTGCTGCACCAGCCCAGGGATGGGAGAAAATCACAGCAGTGAGAATACTCATGTTCCAG